AAAATACATATATATATATATATATATAAATACATATACATAAATGAGTATAAATAGATAAATGGATGTTAAAAATTGTACCAGGGAACATTCTTCCTTAATATGATGACTATTTCTCCATAAAAAGCAACACAAAAACTGAGAGTTCTCTCTAAATTTAGACAGAAAGGTAACTAACCCCATTTCAGACACATGAGAAGTTCTGGCTAATGAATGTACAGAAATAAAGGGAACATTGGAAAGAAGAAATTATTAGACGATGACACAATAAAAATTCAAGCTCACCCACAATAGCTGCACGGAGGAAAAATCCCAGAAAAGTAACTATATCACACCTAATAAGGGGTTACTATCTAATAAAATGGAATATTCTAATTTTAAGCAAAAATAAAGAAATAAAAGCAAGTGAACAAAGAAGGAATAGACAATTCATATTTGAAAATTCCAGCTTCTGGAATTTGATAAGAAAGCTTCATTTGCAAAATACAGTGTAACACAAAATCAACACATCAGTTGTAATTCCTTTTCATTTTAAAATGTCATGATTACCAAAAAATGGGGAAAAAATCTAAAACATATAAAGTATTTAAATAAATTAACAGTTTGTTTTTTTTTTAACCACTGGGTTAAACATGTGCTGAATTGCTTAAGATTTACACCATCAGAATAACTTTGAACTACAGCAAAAAATTTCTCGATGAGTTTTAAATTGTGTTATACAAACCAAAAATTCTTCCCATGAACAGTGCCTTCATCATGCCTTCAACATAAATGAATAAGTTCAGGCACAGAGAGGTCAAAACCAACAACTAAGAGGCCTAAAATCAATTTAAAAGCATTTAAGTATTACTTCAGATTATTTCTGAAAGGTAGTGGCTACTGGATGAGAGGATTACATAAAAACATCAAGTTTTGACTGACTTGCAAAGAGTATTATTTTTCACTACTTGTTAATATTAGAACATTATTATCAAAAAAACCTTTACATACTGGACCTTCCACAAGAGATGCAAGCACTTCATCCCATAGCTTCTGGTTTTGGTGATCTTCTCTAATTAGATGTTGTTGTTGAGGGGTTAGTTGGAAAGCCTCAACTGCTTCTGCTGAATCTGGTGTTTTTAACACTTTGGAGGCACTTGGACAACCATCTAGATTTATTTAAAAATACATAAGCAGACTTCTGAGTGATTCCAAACAGAACTATGAGATCAAAGAGTTAACTGGCACCATTAATGTTTAGCACGAAGATAACCTGCATAAAGCAGCACCTGACTTCCCTTGGAGTTTAGAATACTACATTTGCTGTTGTTTTGGCTCCAGCACTACTAAAATACACAAAAAGTCCCGCGCCTTTCCACCACTCCCAAATATTGCTCTTCTTATGAGTTTCTCAATTTATTCTCTTAATATTTTTCTTTATGAGTAACTACATTTTTAGGACTTATGCCTGTAATCATTACCTACCATCTGTAGTTGGCCTTTTTGAGGCTCCGCTGGCCTGCTTCTTTGACTGTCCTTTAGTCTTCTTCCCTTCCTTATCTGAAGGGTAACCTACTGGATACTGATAGGGGAAAAAGTACAATATAGATTTAAGCTTCGCAAAGAAGTGGCGGGGGGAGGGTTGTTCTAGATGCTGCTGAGAAATTTAAAAAGGGGAGGGGTGAAGAGTATATTTTCCTAAACTGAGAGACTTTATATAAAGGAAACAGACATTTAAAGGACATAAGACTATTAAAATCCCCAATTCAGTGTAAAACCATGTAGTTATGACTGTTAAGATATTTCATTTTACAAAATAATGATCTTAGTTTCAGATCTAAAAGAGGAAAGACAAGTTTTCAGGAGATTTGACTAGGTGGCTTAAGAAGTTTAAGGAAGAGAAGAATCTAGATATGAAGTAAGTGAAGATCAACCACAGAGTACAGTACAGTACTCATACAGATGGTATTACACTCAATTGTGAAGCCAATCTTTAAAAAACAAAACAAAACAACTCCCACCCCCCCAACATTAAGGGCTAAATTTCTTATCTACCAAAATAGGGGGGATGGGGCTTTTAGAAGACCTAAAGCCACTAAATTACTAATTCTTTATCAGCTAAAGGTTCGAGTTTAAGGAATAAAGTCTACCTATTTGTGTTTTACTGGCTACCCTTTTCTGCGGGACATGCTTTATTGATTAACACTGATATTTAAAACTCAACATGTTTTAGGCCCCATCAATGATATTATTAACTTATCATAGTAGATGAGCTTACATGCTTCTGCTTACAGTTTCAAATCTAACCTATCTAGAACACTGCTCTGCTGAACAATGAATCTGAAAAAATCTTTTAAAAATGGATTTAACAAGTTATTTTTTTATATTGTTATAAAAAGAATTATTTTGGCAGTTATTTTAGCAGCCGATGGGTCTCATTTAATTAATGAAACAATTAATTCTACGAGTTTAAAAAGAAAACAAAAACAGACACAGACTTGCACTAGAAAACACACACTCACCTGCCTGGGTGGTCAGACACTTGCCCATAGTTCAGCCCCTACACATGCAGTGTGGGCAGAGCCAGGGGAAATGAAAAGCTGGTAGTCTTTACAGGAAGCACAACAATGGGGAATGATGGGAGGATGAACTTAAACCATGCTCTGAAGTCAGTGTCAGGGACAAAGTCTAGGGTGCATAGGCAGTGGACGGGGAATGTAGCCATACCATCCATTATGCACACAAAACCAACAAAGTCTTAAATGGGTTAACAGCTGAACATGGGCAAAGGGGAAAAAAAAAAGGCAAAGCACTAAAGGTGGTGACAGGACAGGGAAGCAGCTTTGAGGGGGAAGAGAAAAAAGGGGTGAGGAAAAGTGAGAAGGGTAGGAAGCAGACCACTCTTACAAGCCACCTCCCCCTTCCCCTACCAGAGACACACCCCGTGCCCTCTAGGATAAACTTCCCTTCCTAAGGCCTCCTTTATGTAAATTTTATGTATCCCTCTCCCTCATTCTTCAAGTCATTTCCAAATTGAATTGAAATATCTTACTTTTCATTGAAGGCCTGGATATTCCCAAGCACAATTCTTGGTCTTAGGGCAGTTTGACACCTAGAATGCCACCTTTTTACTTGTTTTCCTTCTGTATACTTGCATGGTTTCATTCCTCACCCCTTAAAGTCCACTGATCAATTGCCATGAGTTGTATCCAGTGCTAAGGCACAAAGATACTACAGAGGTGCACATTTTTATGAACATACAAGTAGCCTAGACAAATGTAATCTAACCTGTAAACGTAGACATAGTCTTCTGGACCGTTCTATTCCTTCTGAGGTCCAAGGAGCGGGTTCAACATCATCTCTTCTTAAAAGGTAGCGCCAAACCAAGAATCCATGGCTTGATGAAATTTCTGGCCAGTATTTCACCACCTAAATCACAGTATTTTGTAGTAGTTTGAGATTTAATATTTAGACTTATTCATCATATATTACTAGTTTAAGTATACTTGACTGAACTAAATGCAACTTCAAAAGATGCTTGCTTTGTTGTAGGAACAGTAAATAAAAAATATTCACTAAGATATTGTTTTGACCTTATTTCCTAATTAAGATAGCTCCCATATAAGTACACATTGCTATAAACTTGAAATATTAACAAGATTATGCTCATGAATAGATTCCTGCATAACAGATAAAAATGGTGGCAGTAAATGCCTCCGTGTTTTAAACAAACAACCTATTTTACAAATTATAACGTGCTTGGCTTTGAAAATCTATTACAATTAAAATAATTATAAAGATATAAGAATCAGTATCTACAATGGCCACATTATTTAGTTTTATCATAGAGAATATATACTCACAAAAAGCTTAACTCAAAATGTAACTCTGCCCTTACAGACTTCAAATAAGTGTTAAGAGAAAAGTATCAAAGTTAGAAGCTCACTTTGTATATCTGTTACATTTCCAGAAAAAGCAGAAGTACCAACTAAGGTGATCTACTCTTTCCTTTAGCCCACCCCAGTAGAGTAGTTCCCTTTGGCAAGGGAACTTGAAAGCCCAGGAAGAATGACTAACAAGATGTCATGCCAGATAGAGCACCTTATAAATGCCATCATATCTGTTGCCTTCTTCAGGAGCATATTTGCTGATCTTCCTCCCTTTAAAACTGCGTATCACTCTGACTGGCTTACCAGCTCTCCAATTCCGAGACTCTGCTCCAATTTTATCATCCAATGGAGCATCACAGTTTAGGGCCAATGCCCTAAAAAATAAAACAAATTCTTTATACCAAGTAATCTTTAAGTATATAATCGCATTATTAGCTCAATTAAAAGGTGAATTATGCCTTACCTGATGGTTAAGATTCTATGATTCTTTCCATATTATTCCAGATAATAGGATTATGCTTTCCCCCACCAGCAGAGAAGACAAATCAGTTTTCTGATGTCACCCCCAAGCCAGGGGATTGGTTCTCAGATAGCCTGTAGGGTTCTTCTGAAAGTAATAACATCTGTGCCACGTATAATAGAAAACAACTAGAAATACATGGAATTTTTTTAAAATAACGTTTGTTGAGGGAAGGGAGAAAGTTGGAAAACTAAAGCAAGTGATTGTTGTAGTATTTATTTTTGATAAGGGAGTGAGGTAAATTGCTGGAATAATGTAGAAAGAAATCCAGGAAAATAAATTTGTCAGCAAGGTACAAATGACCTTTCTAGGTCTACTTTCCACATTCCAGACGATAGAGAATCCTTAACGTTTAGAAGCTATTAAAGAACAAGTTTAATATGAGAATATCGTTTAAAGACTTTGAGTAAAAAATTTAAGTAAAACTGAAGCATTCAAATGTCTGTGTTAAATCATGACAATAAAGATTTTTGGCTCCTCCAGATCACTATTTTTACTATGACATGTGAACAAGGAGGAACACTGAGTGAGAAGCAGCACCTGATTTAGTTGAAGCTTCCTTAGTATGTGTACTCACTTAGTAGTAATTAATCAGTAAGGTTATGTAAGAAGACCTTTCTTGGGAGAACTTAGTCCTGTCAAAAAACAAAAACAAAAAACCAAAACAACCCCCCCCCACAAAAGACCCCACCAAACTAGAATCTATTTAAAATTAGTATTCTTCTTCTCAGATACCTACTTCCTAACTTAAGTGAAAAGAAACCACTGAGAACATGTAAGGTTAAAACACATACACACCCAATTTGGTAAATTCAGGTATGATACAAAATACTTTTTCAGGGTATAATTTTACGTAGGCTCAAATAAAAAAAAATTGACCTTAGGACTAAACGTCTAATCTATTCAGATCTCTTGATCAGTTATACTGTTAAAGTAAATAAACTCAAAGTGTTTCGTTTAAAAAAAAAAAAAAACTTTTATAAATGTGGTCAAATAGTTAAAGTTTACCAAGTTATTTTTTTTATCTCAAAGGTAGATGCATTAAATCTCTGGGAGGTAGAAGAAAATGTAGCCAAACTTCTAGGGCTAGTATTCCATCTTATTTATGTAATACCTATTGAGATATACATACTTCATCTTCTTAAAGAGCTAGGAAAAGGACAAATACTATTTTCACATTAATGAGTGGAATGCCTTGGTGCTTATAGGCACCTTCATTCAGAATGATTGCCACCCCTAACTGGCATTATTAACTCACTTCTAGCTTCACAGAAGTATGTAGGTTGTTCAAGTATGTGAAAAGAATCTAAGATCAAACTAGGTGAAACAAGGCTTTTCCATTACTCTGCAGCTTAATCAATTGCCTCTAACTTCCCTGATAAAGGAAGGCCAGGTTACCTTGCTGCCCTCTTCAGTTTCATAAAGCGAAAGAGCTGAGAGGAAATAGGAACAAACTTTTCAAAGCAAGAAGCAGGCACCAAACTACCTCTTAGTGGAGAAGCAAAAATGAACTGGACCATATGCTAGTTAGGAAAGAGTATAATATGATGCAGAGCTAAGGGTCTTTCACCTCGGTACAATGCTTATAAAACATATAGGTATCTTTTGCCCAGAGGTCTTTACAATCACAATGCGTACTCAAAGCTTAATGTATAAACTAAGAGAATGGATGTCAGAGTCCCTATGATAAGTCAATCCTAAATGGTTCTGAGTTAATATTTTATATTCACTACCTTCCTTTCAATACAAACATTTTTACTACTTGTCAATTATTTTCTAATAAGATTATAACATATGGCAAACAGGGTTATACTTATTAGATTCTTTAAAAGCTTGGAAAATATTTACCATGTATATTACAAATGCAGGAAGTTAGGAAACAAACGTCATTCAAGCAAAATAATCTATTGTTATTAAAAGGTAAATATTATTTTCAAATTTGACAATGTAAAAAAGCCCTTTTACAAATTCAAGATACACTTTCACTGACAAAAACACATCAAAATATTTCTAAATCCTTTTAAGATCATTCCTCCTGAAGACCTGCTATTTTGCTAGAAAAATACTAGCTAGGGACTGGACTCCTGCCTCAGGAATGTTTTCACCAGCAAATCTGACCTGTCTCCTCTGCTGGTTCAGTTAAATAATCCTACTGTCAGAAATAATATAGAAGGAAGACATAAAAACAGACTGTATGTAATTTGGTATGCAACAAATTCTTGAAATCATACTGGTGTATTCTTTACTTCACACGGTAATCAGAAATTAAGGGCACACTACTTAAAACCGAGTGATTTAGACTCAAGAAAGAAAAATACTCATTTTTACTCAATCCATAAAACACCCTTAACAATAGGATATAAAAATTTCAACTTTATGAAATTGGTCAAAAAATTATCAATACAAGTTATAATGTGGTCACTGCTATCTGATGGTGTGGGTCACTTTTTTATTATTGCTATAGCATGCATATATGAAATAAAACATTTTGAAGTCATTTTTTCGTTCCCATGGAAGCTGGAATATCAATACTTCTATAGAACAAAGGTCAGCACAAGGTGGCTCTTTTGTAATGCTTTATAAGTATTTACTTAGAAAAGGTCACTTTTGTAACTAAACATTCTTTTATAACACTTAAGAGACATTATTATAAATTCTAAAAGCACCTTGAGTGTAGTTCTGATTAAGTTTATCTGATGTTTCACTTATGCCCACAAATGCGGCTCCCAAACTTAAACCTATCTCACACTGGTGAGTCTCTTAAGAAGTTTGTTACTTTAAAAGATAAATCTGTGTTGAGTAAAACATAACTTTGACCTATGGGATAGTAGATAGCCACCTTGTCCTCAATTTCACTTATATAGGTTCCCTTCCTTCAAATGTTTCAACATGTTTTCAAATGCAAAACACATGTATTAAGACTGGGAATAATGTCATTTAAAAAACAGTATGAAGAAATAAGTTAGAATGCTTACAATTATATAATCAGGTAATGGGATTTTAAATTTAGATCTTTAACTCTCAATTTAAGATTCTCCCCTACAGTCTAACTTACAAATTATATTACTATAATCAAACTTTTATACAAAGCCCAAATAGATAGTCTTTACAAACTCTAACAATAAAGAGTACCTGTTCATGTTTGTTAATGTTTGATCAGCCGATGGTGCACCAATTCTTTTATTACCAGCAAGATTTTTACCACCACTCCCTGTGTATGTGAATTCATCACCTCGGTCCTACAGGAAAAGATTTTCAGCATTAAGATACCTAAACCCAAGTATAATCTCGCCAATTCTTATTTTACAGTCAGAACATTTGGTTAGGATGTTATGAATTTACATGTTCTCTCTCAAGGCATCTTGGGAGAGATTTGCCAAAATATCTCAAATGCAGTTGTGTATGTAGTACATCTTCAAGTTATATCAAGTTACATCACTTGATCATTTTAAAATTAGAGCTTTCAATACCTCCAAATGTGGCTAGTCTCATGCTATATCTACAATTTAATAATCTCTAGAATGTTACAAAATAAGACCTGATGGACTGGGAATATTGTTTCATTTAATTCAATGGTATTAAAATAAACATCAATATTATCTTGTAGGTTTTCATAGACTACCATTTTATTAGTAAATACTTCATATCTGATTTCCCATCAGTAATCTACACTATACCTAAGTTTGTTGTTCAATTTCAAAATTAAAATCCTAACAGCATATTAAGTTCCTCACATTTCACACTGTATAGACTCACTTAAATTACATTCAGGTGAAATAATTGCCTATCATTAAAAAGAACATTGGAAAAGAATTTGAAAACTAAAATTTGTATAAAGTATCTACTAAATGTGAAAAAAAAAATGCCAGAGGAAATAGATGTTACATAAACTAGAACCAAAAATATCTCTGTAATAGCTACAAATTTATATTGATATTACTAAGTCTCTGATTCAGTACTCAAAATCAGTTGAGAAGAGTATCAGTATACAAATTAACTCTACTAACATTATCAAAATAGTGGTGGTTCTAACTCTTTTTTTTGGTTAGTTGACACACAATTATGTTAGTCTCAGGTATACAACACAGTGATACAAGTTTATACATTATGCTGTGCTCACCACAAGTGTAGCTACCATCTGTCACCATACAATGTTATTTTAATACCACTGACTGTATTTCTTATGCTGCGCCTTTTATTCCCGACTTACTCATTCTATAACTGGAAGACTGTATCTCCTACTCCTCTTCACCCATTTTGCTCATTCCCCCATCCAATAGTGTTTCTTCTTTATTGGAAGATTTTAATTAGTTTAGACTAAAGATAATGAAGTTTTCTCTACTAAATCCTTGTCTGTAATAAAGGTTAATTATTTTGCATCTTGTTTTTGGATTAAGTCCTAACTAAAATCTCATGGTTTTAGAAGTACTTTTCTCTGTCTAAAAATCATGACTTCACTTTTTGTTGATCTAATATTGAAGTCTATAAAGACTAAGGCATTAAGGAATTTCATCTTTAGTGTGTATTCCATTTGAAGGAAATCTAATAAATAACTACATCTAGAGCAGCCTAGAACACTTCTTAATCAGAAACAGTCTTCCAAATTGTACCTGGATTGACTTCACAATGCTCATATTCATAACCCTCTCAACTTTTTTTTTTTAAAGATTTTATTTATTTATTTGTCAGAGAGAGAGAGAGCGAGGGAGTGCATGATCGCACACAAGCAAGGGGAGCAGCAGGGCAGAGGGAGAAGCAAGCTTCCCACTGAGCAGGGAGCCCAACGCGGGGCTTGATCCCAGGGTCCTGGGATCACGACCTGAGCCAAAGGCAGATGTCTAACCAACTGAGCCCTCCAGCCCCCCATCACCCCTGTCAACTTTTAAAGTTATAATTGTGGTAGTGCTATAAAGGAAAAAGTAGTGGTGACTAGGAGAGCATAAGAGAGGCAACCTATGCTCAGTAGTGTTTAAAATGAAAGAACAAAAACATTTCTGATGATTCTTCAAACAGCAAATAATCAAGTAGGAATAATTAAAATTCTATGTCATTAGCTCATCTGTACTTTAATCATCACACCAACAGAAACTTTTAATTATTATTAGGGGAAAAAAGAATTGTTGGACTGTCAAAACTCAGCCAATATATTAGTTCAAACTAATTTTCCTAAGGAACAATGATCAGCCCAAATTTGTTACATATTCTAGTCCATGCTCCACAAAGTTGTATCCCTGTGGGTCAGCAGCCTAAAGAAGCCTGCTGTCTGGGAACACCTCATGTAAGAAACCATCATCTGTATAGGGGACATACTACTGCCCCAGAGTGACTCAATTTCCCAATCTCAACTCCTCTCAAGTTGTAAAGTAGCTGCCTAACACAATAAGCTGGATGCTCCTATTCCCGCCATCACCGTTATCAAGTAAAAGACCTTCATCTCAATCTTCTCACTGCCCCCCACAAAGACTATCAGATAAATATCCGAAAGCATAGTTAAGATCATTAAACTTTTCCCAGACACATTTAATGATTCCTTAATTCAAAGCTATCTATTATACAGCTTCAATCTCTGCCAGTTTCTCTCAAAATACCCCTTTCATGTTTGCAAAGCTGGGTACTACCACTTTACTGCTGATAACACCTACCTAGCATTTACTCTGTGTGTGTGTGTGTGTGTGTGTGTGTGTGAAGTTAGGCTAAGCACTTTATTTATTATTCTTTTATTTTTTTTTATTTTTTATTTTTTTTAAAGATTTTATTTATTTATTTGAGA